CATTTCGTCGAGATGTGAAAAAGTTTTCACAAATCACGCAAACATTGGATACAGTGACCATGTTTGCCAACAGCCTGTGCCCGTGTCCGTGCTGCCGGGAATTTACTTGATGCAGTCTGAGCTGTCTCATCGTGTCGAACTTCGACTCGCATCGCACTCCGTCGTGCACAACATCGCATTGAAATCGCATGTCAGGCATGTCATCCTCATTCGCATCACCAGGTGAAGCCGTAGTATCCGTCACTTGCACCTCCCCCTCCCCGTAATCGCACCCCGGCGGCCCAATCTCCACAGACCTCCACTTTGACAGCAAAACCTTCGGATCTATGGAGCACACCTTTTGGTTAACCTCGGGGTCGCAGAACAGAGCCACGGGGCGCTCACGAACCTGCTGGAGAATTTCGGGAACCTCTCCGACGTCAGCGAGATGCGAAAGGTCCTGCAGAAACTGATCCCACCAAGGGGTCGTGTGACCCGTAGCGTATCCCGCTCGATCGCAGATGTTTTTCTTGTCCCACAATGCAAAGCCGAACATCGCCCCCAATAGCTGGAAATTCTTCTCTGGGTGCTGCAAGACGCCTCTCCACCACCCCAGTCTTTGCACTCGCAGCCCAAGGGATGCAGGACTCTGCCGCAAGGCTTGCAGAACATATGCGTTGCTACGTGCACGATAAGTGACCTCCTCCCCATCCATCTGCGTCTTCTGGCATCCGTCCCCTTTCAGAAGCTTTCGTGCTAGGAGCGCCTGAAGCCCGTCAACTCTCTCCTCATCTTGCGCACTCAGTGGAAAGGCCACAAGATTGTTTAACAGTGTGCTTTCAACGACTGCTTTGAAAACAATGCCAAGCCATCGTCTGTTGTGGCACCGATGCCAAAACTGGCCAAGCCCATAATATGCCGCACGAGCTTTTTGGAGTCTGAGTTCTACCTCGTGAGAGACCTGGCCAGAACGATGCAGCTGCGGCCCTAGATACCGGCAGTGTCGCTTCACTCTGCTGGCAACTTTAGTGCGCCCCGTGAACAAATCCCTGGTGGCCTCCTGGGAGCCCTTGCCGAAGAACTGGAACATCATCTCCGACTTCGTCGCATTAGCCCCGACCCCCACCATATCGAGACACTCATCCAAACGTTCATGTTGCGCCTGCATCTGCCGGGGGAGTGCTAGCATACGCGGGCAGACCCTACAGCGTGCAAGATCATCAGCAAACGAGGTGAACGATATCTCTATCGGCCGCTCACTCCTGCTACATACCGCTATTCTGTCCAGAGGCTCCTGCGTGTGGCAATGTTTCAACCACTCACAAGCCACAGTAATTCCTGGAGCCCCAGGGCCAACAAAACAGTCAGTGGCCCAATGATAGGCCCCTAGGAACCAGGAGCACGCAACGCTATCTCCCGGGAGAATGCCAGACCCGATGCTCATAGCTAATTCACGATCTACACAAGACAAATACACAGTAGCATGCCTAAGCCGTTGCTGGAGAAGGCGACTGGTGAATTCATCACTGTGCGCTCTCGCAAAAGCTCCTAGTAATCGATGGTGCACGCTATGGAACGCGTTGGCTGCATCGAAAAAACTCTGACTACGAGGGATCTGGGACTCCCTGAGCCTATGTGCACACACTGCCTGTACGAGGACGGCCGACTCTCTCCGACGGGACCAGAGGTATCCGTACGCATGCTCTCTCTCCGCCGCCGTCGTGAGCAGAGGGGAGCGCCTCCAGAGCTGAGAGTAATACACTTTGCCGAAGGGGTCCAGCGAGTGGATCAGTCGAAGGCCTTCGCACTCAGGAGGAGGAGGAGGAGGAGGAGGAGGAGGAGGGGGAGGAGGAGGGGGATAAGGAGGAGGAGGGAGGAGGAGACGAAAGAAAGCTAGGAGGGGCGTCGTATTGGCCGCCCTGGGACCATCAGGAGCCGTCGTGGGGCGATCTAGGACCGCTTCGGGTAGGGGGTCCAGGCCTCTGGCGCAGTTTGCCGGGTTGTGCGGTTTCAGGGGGAGTCCTTCGGGAGCCATCTCGGAGCATCCACAGGGCCGCTGGGGGCCCTTCTGGGCCGTCCTGGGCTAAGCCATCTTGGGCTGGGTGGGGCCCGTGTTGAGCCGTCATCGGGCCATCGTGGGTGCTCTTGAGGCCGTCTCGGCGTCCTTCGGGGCTGTCCTGTGCGCCTACTGGGCCGTCCTGCAGGCCGCCTGGAGCCGCCGTGGAGGCCCCCTGCTAGTTTGCCAGAACAGGGCAGCTCTCCACGGGGACTTGCCGAGTTTGGGCCAGCTGGGGCCCTCGTGGCTCTGAGAGGGACAGCGGAGCCTCCGTGGACGGTCCCGAAGCCGTCTCAGGGCGGCTGGTTGTCAGCTGGAGTCGCCAGGTGACCCGGGTGAGTACTCCAGATTTCGTAATAAAAGGGAGGGGGTCTGGACCCTCCAAGACAAGCCATTTCAGACCCCCCCCGTGGGAGAACCCTCCCAAACATCGTCCCCAGACCCCCCCAGGCCCTCCAAGATAGCCTGGAAGAGACCCCCCCTCGAAATGAGACCCCCCTCCCTTTATTACGAAATCTGGAGTAGCTTCGAGGCCGTCGGAGGCCGTCCACGGGCATGTCTGAGGCATGTCTGGGGCCGCCGAGCCCCCCGGCCCCTGTCGCCCGGGGAGCCCCCCGTCCGAACCAGCCAGACGGAGCAGCCCCCCCAGGAAGGGATTTGGGGAAGGGCAGCATTCTCCCACTCCACACAGATCCCAAGTGGTCGGCGGATTCTTCACGACGCAGGACCCCCAGGACCGGTTATTCATCCCGCGAGGTTTGTTGACGGCCCAGAGGCAGAAGGCTGTGACAAAAACGCCCATCCTTATCTTTCCACGGCGCGAGCATGTCAGGGGAGAAGCTGGGGTCATCCCCTGAGACCCGATTACCACGACAAAGTTGCACCATCGTAAAAACTCTGCCAGAGAGCCCTGGACACCAGCTTTCTGCTGCATTTTCCGGGCGGGATTGATCTGTGATTTGTGAGGGACCTATGCCCACATGTTGGCGAAAACGCCCGGCGCAAAAACATACGAAGGCCTGAGGTCAGGGCCTGCTGGGATGGCCCCGGTATTGCTAACGGCATACGGGATTTATTCGCGGATGCCCTCGCCCAACCCGGCTGATGAATGGTTCACAAGAGATCCCAATTGACTTAGGGGCGGTCGGCTAATTTTGATGAGTGGCCACAGCGGGAAAAAGGTGGCAAAATGATGTCGTACGATTCCTCCAAATAACAGCGTCCTCCAAACGAAACGAACACTGGCTTACGCTGGCACACGACAGCACCACATGGACCAGATTGGAGACAGCGCTTCTGCAGCACACAACATAACTGGTCGAGAACACCCACCTCTACACATGAGGGTCCCGGCCCGCCCGCGCTGGCCCTCTTGGCCCCGCCGCCCTGCGGACAGTGGCACGCGCTGCCTCTGCATGCTCTGCTGAGTGGGCGGAGGCCTCTCAGCCCGGACCGCTGACCTTAAGTCGGGCATGTTTTTCTGCAGGAGGAGTGTTCAAGACAAGTAGCACTATGATGATGATGTGTCGTGCTCTTTTGACTCCTGTTGCTAGTTTTGTCGACAACTGCTTGTGCGTCCTGTAGGAGGACATGCCCGACCTAACGCTATCAGCCCACCTGTGAGCCACGTTGGGCCAGATACAGCAACCTTGGCGTACCCACAGCCCCCTTATCCCCTTAGCACCCCCCCTGCGGCCATCTGAGTCCCCCGATGTCATGATCTTTCCGCAACGAGGACCCCCACGGGTCTTGACACATCGCCCGGGACCAGCCCTCTGGTTTTGCATCCAGAGTCGGTCTGCGACGGTCCTGGCGAGGCCTGGTAAGGGGCCCCCAGCGGCCGGAAGTAACCAGCGGACAGCGGTCCGCGTCGCCATTTCATCGCGACTCGAGGGGGTCTTGGATCTCAACGTCTGGCACCCTCCCCGAGCCTCGAGTCTGCGTCGCCCCAATATACTAATACTGTGTGTGCGTCGCCCCCCCCAGGGGAGACGCGCGCACCGTGAAATCTTCTAGTAAAGGCGGCGTGGCGGGCGCTGTCTGCCACGCCGACCGGGAAACGATCTACGTCAAGACGGGTATATACTATATGTTCGGGTCGGACGCGCGCGCCTCCAAGGAGGACACATCGTACTAGTATGTGTCTACGTGGGGGGTTCTAAGTGGGTAGGGGGTTACAAGTGGATGCCAAGGTGGGTAACATCTTGCCCACCCTGGCTTATATGTGGGCTGCAAATGCACCAAGTAGGCTCCGCCCACCACCAGGAGTTATCTAACCTCCCTGAGCTACTCGGGGAATTCGTAACCCATTTATCGGCCAGGCTGGGCCAGCTATAAACCACCCTGGCATCCAATGGTAACCTCCCTATCCATTTAGAAACTCCCACGGTCATCCCAGCAGAAGCATGCGCTGTCCTGATCTGTTCAGTACAGCGTCCCCGGAAGTCCTGACCCTTTCTCCGTGGGCCAATTTTTCACCCTGCGTCGTTGTTTGACGCTCCGGGGGACCGGCGAGGGCCAAAAGGGGCCGAGATAATAGCGAAAAAATTGCCGTCCTGTTTTTGGCGACGCGAGCATGTCTGAGAGGACCTCCACCCCCTCCAGCCCTACGCGATCATGTCTGGGAGGAGGGGGAGGAGGAGGAGGAGGGGGAGGAGGAGGAGGAGGGGGAGGAGGAGGAGGAGGAGGAGGAGGAGGAGGAGGGAGGAGGAGGGCGGAGGAGGAGGAGGAGGAGGAGGAGGGAGGAGAGGAGGAGGAGGAGGAGGAGGAGGAGGAGGGAGGAGGAGGAGGAGGAGGAGGAGGAGAGGAGGAGGAGGAGGAGGAGGAGGAGAGGAGGAAGAGGAGGAGGAGGAGGAGGAGGAGGAGGAGGAGCAGTAGTAGTAGTAGCAGGAGGGGGTGGAGGGGTTGTAGAGGGTGTCGGGGGTGGAGAGGGTGGTAGGCTGTCGCGACGCGTCCCGTCGAGGAGGGCCGGCCGGGCCAGCCGCTGCAGCAGGTGCTGCTGGACGTGCGGGTGGCCGCGCTCGGCGACCTGCTGCCCTGCGCGGACGAGAGGCTGCCGGAGGCCGCCGAGGCCCTGGGCGGCAGCCTCGGGCACCGCGGGGTGGTGGCCACGGCGCGCCGCGGGGAAGAAGCACAGTGGGATGGCCGTGGGGGCTTGTAAGTGGATAGGGGGGTTTACGAGTGGAGGCCAGGGTCTTGGCATCGCTCGGACGTGTGCTTTTTTCTCTCGGCGAGGGCCCATCGAGGAGCATCCTGGATCATTTTGCGGGAAAAAACACGCACGAAGCCGAGCAAAGCATAGGGAATGGACGTCGGATCGATGGCCAGGGGTGGGTTATAGCTGGCCCAGCCTGGCTCATAAGTGGGCTACGAATTCCCCGAGTAGCTCAGGGAGGTCCGATAACTCCGCGAAGTGAGCGGAGCCCGCTTAGCCCGGATTGTTAATCCCCCTGGGCATTTGTAGTCCACTTATAAGCCAGGGTGGGCCAGATATTACCCACCTTGGCATCCATTGCCAACCCCCTATCCACTTAGAACCCCCACGGGCCATCCCAGTAGATTTCAGTCGGGCATGTCCCTCTACAGGAGGAATCTTCAAAAATCGGCAAAGAATAGTCTGGGGACGATTTTTGATTATTTGTTTGACTATGTTTGGAGATGTTTTGTCCATTTTTGATTGTTCGTCCCAAATCCGCCGGTAGGAGGACATGCCCGACCTAAGTATAAATGCTCGCCAGGGGAAATTTAGGAGGCTGCTTGCTGGAGGACGCGGGCCTCATCTACGTAGACGTGTCAGGCTGGCGCTTGCCAATGAGCTGCGTCCTCCTTAGAAGCCTTCCCCCCTCCCCCTACCCCCTTTTGTGCGCGCCGCAGATTCCTAGGGCACACCCCACGGATCCGCTCTTCCGACTCTAGTTCGACATTCAGTCCTATTCAAGTTCGACGAAGGGTCGACTCGGGTCGAGACTTCCAGGGACCCCGCAACATCACTGGGCTTTAGCGACGCCGATCTCGGCCATGGTCCACGCCGGCCGTCGCCGATTCGGGAGGAGGATCCACGCACTGGCGCTCGCAGAGCGACACCGTCGTTTCCGCGTCCACTCTTGACTCACCGAGCGCGCTCCACTACTCGCAGAGCGTCTACTCGCGAGCGTCCTACACAAACACCCATGGCTGCACCGAGGTGTCTCGTAACGCCCTTCTTGGCGGATCCAGGCCATTCGCGAGCAATTACTCTGCGAGTCGTGGAGCGCGCTTGTGCACCTTTGCCATGGCCCTCGTGTTCTTTCGCTCCAGGCGAGGGCCGGCTTCGAGGAGATCCACCTGCACCGCGCAGCCGAGCACCGGAGAAGCGGCAGCGGCGCAAGCACAGACCCAGATCTCGGGCGATACCATGAAATGGGGCACGTCCCTCTACAGGATTCCAGAAATAGTCGGCACATAGTCTGGTGGGCCCTGGAAAACACAGGGCCGTTTTTGTTACCGGTTCCGTTTTGCCGTTTGTTGCCGGTTCCGACGCCGTTTTTTTACCGGTTCCATCGCCGTTGTTTTACCAGTTCCGGCTCTGGTTCCAATCCCAGAGCCGTTTTTTGCTGTTCCTGGTCGCCGTTTTTTTGCCGTTCCCATTTTCAAGGGGCATTTTTTTTGGAAACGGTGAAAAAAGGGCCCTGCCGTTTCCGGGGCCCATAAAGGTCTGGAGACGATGTTTGACAATTCTTGGCTTGTGTGCAGTTCGCTGTTCCCCTCCACAACCTGCCTGTAGGAGGACATGCCCGATTTGGTAAGTCTGGGGATAGTTCCTTTCGAGTTTGGCCTCCAGACTTTTCATCCTGGGCTGCAGGACCGGCAAGAGCGGCGCAGGCCGAGCTATATACCCCAGGAAAGAAAAGTCAGGTCCGAGGAGCTCCGCGGCTGCGGAGGGAAAGCGTCGTGCCGGAGGGCGGCTGCGGGACCCTCGGAGGTCCGGGCGGATCCCTCGGATCGGCGTCCGGCTCCCCGCTTCCTGGCGCGCCAGGGGCGGCGCCGGAGGCTCGGCGTCGGACGAGGGGGGGGTGCGCGAGAGCTGCTGCGTCTGTTCGGCCACGCGCAGAGGGGGGTAGGGGGAGGGGGGGAAGGCTTCTTAGAAGCACCCCTGCTTCTTCGAAGGCGCGGGCCTTCTCTATGCATGGCAGGCTGGCGCCCTCTAAGGAGCAGCCCCTCTCTGAGAAGCCTTGCCCCCTCCCCCACATACTCCCCTCTGCGCGCCGCCAGTGTGCAGCTCGGGGCGCCGCAGGGCGCGTTCCTCCGGAAAGAGACCAGCTATTAGTTGTGGCGAGTCGCCAGCCGTCAGTCGGGCATGTCCCTCTACAGGAGGAGTGTTTTTCAAAAGTCAAGCAATAGTTTGCACACGGTTTGTCGACTATCTTTGAATATGTTTGAGCATTGTTCGTCTATTTTTTGCTCTTCAGAGTCCGCCATGTAGGAGGACATTCCCGACCTAACGCTAACCCCCGCCCCCAATCATTATCGCTCCCTTCGGGAAGACCAGCTACGTGAGGCGAATCACTAAATAACCCCGCCGATGCAATAAATCCTCGGGGGCCTCTGAAAGTTAATGCTTGTGCCGCTTCCCGCTTCACCGCAGAGCAGCAGGAGTCGCACGCGCGCAGAGACGCCATCCCGCGGGCGCTGGGCACAGCGGAGTACATGCGGCAGGTGGTCCAGTTCGTCAGCGAGGAGCTCTCGCCGCTCCAGCCCTTCCTGGAGGACGCCCGCCACAACGCCGAGGTGATGGCGGCCGTCGACCGCAGACACTGCAGGTTCCCAGACCTCTGACGCCAAGATGTTTCAATCGCTTGACTTCCCCCTCACGCAGCACCCCGCCAAACTGCGGACACGAGAGATGGCGGCGGGCGCGGGGAGCATCACCGGTGGGTCGCGGCTGGGTGGCGGGCGGGTCGCGGGCCGGCCCTTTCCTTTTGATTGTGCGCGAACTGATGACGGTGAATTGAGGGCGGTAGCGAGGGTTGCAGAAAAAGGGGCCCCTCAGGGCCCCTAGAGGCTAAAGGGGCATTTCAGGGCACCAATCGGGGGCCCTGAGGGCCCGAAAACAGGGAGCCGTTCTTCCCCCCCCCAGTTGATCGTCTCCCCAGTGATTCGCGCCCAATCTGACTTCAGCCCCGCAAGGGCGGCTCACGGGCTCTGGCCATCCGGAGCGCATCCCTGGGACGCCAAACTATACCCTGCAGGGAAGGGGCATAAGGCTCGGGTGCCGCAGGCTCTCGGGGGAGGGCTGGCGAGGCACTGGCGCTCCGCCGCTCGTCCTGGAGAGACCTCGTCGCCTTCTCTGGGCTCGGCGCGACGTGCTATACCCAGGCACGATCGCGTCGTATAAAAAATCAAGACGGCAAGTTTTTCGCTATTTTCGCGGCCCTCGCCAATCCCCAGGAGCGTCAAAAACGGCTCAGGATGAAAAAGCGGCCCCGGGGAAAGGGTCGGGACTTCCGGGGACGCCGCACCGACAAAAATCAGGACGTCGCTTTCTTATTCGGCATTTTGACATTTGGCGGAGGGGGGGGGCGGGGGGGAGGGGGGGTCTGGCTCCGGACCTCTGCTCAGTGCGACAGTCGCGAACCGTGCGTCCTGTGGGGGAGATTCCACCCGCTCGAAACAGGCGCTCCAACCAGCCAAGATCTACTCCGTGAGGGTGGGGGGAGGGGGGAGGGTGCGAGGGCCACGTCTGGGCAGTCAGACGGCACCCCGGGAAGGCCTGGGGAGCAGCGTTGCACAGCCAAGGCGTGGAGGTGAGGACCTCTCCAGGCTCTGGGCCGGCCCCCGGTGTCCAGGCCGTGACCTGGGTCTCTCTGCGGTCGGGGTAGCTGCGGGGCAGCGTGTCGCTCCGTGTGCTGCGGCTCACCCCGCCTCGGCGCGACACGCTGGCCTCAGGCAGCGGCGAAGCGTCTTCGGCTCGCCTATGGGCTCACCAGGACATGTTCTAAGACCCTTTGGCGGTTTGCACGAAGCGTGCTTGGAACACGTCTGGCTGAGACTGTCGTGTTTCAACACACAGGGCTCACGGTCTAGGAACACAGTTGTTGTTGTTGTTCTTAGAATACTTCTGGGCTCTACGAACATGTCGTGGCAGGCCTACAGGAATGCCGGGACGGTCGGTCCCTGCTCAATATCCGCGTCCCCACTCCCAGAGGTCAACGTCCCGAGCGTTCCCAAGCCTCCCGCCCCGCGCAGCTGTGGGGCACGCTATCCACTCGCAAGGCATAGCGTGTCCCTGGGGCTGTCGTGGCGGCGCGCCGCCAAGCACAAGTTCCTGACGGAAAAGGTCGGGGAGCCTACTTGAATCCGAGGCCCGCCGTGAGCAAAAAAGAGCCGTCGTTGCTTACCCAGGGGTCCTTCTGGTAGCACAACGGCTGTACCTACCTGTATCTTTTTGCCCCCCTAGGTTCGCCAAGGCCCTCCCGGCGGAGCGGTGGTCCAGCAAGTGGCACCCTGCGGCGGCTGGCCCTCCGCAGGAGGCACCCGCCGCGCAGGGGAGCACCGCCAGGAGGTCGCCCCGCGTGGGCCCCGAGGAGCCCGCGCAGCCGCTGCAGCCCGAGCACAGGGAGCACAGGTCGACGAAGGAAAAACGCCATAAGAGCAGAAACTTTGGGCGCTCCGCGCGGGTTTCTTGGATCCGCGCTGGGCCCCCCACCCCCCTCTCCCCGGCGGCGCCCCCGGCGCCGCCCCTCGCGCCCGCCGCGCGCCAGCGAAGGGGGGGGTCCAGCGCAGATCCGGGAGAGCCGCGCGGGGCGCCAGCCGAGTTGCTGCTCGCGTCGTCTTCCTTCCTTCCGTCGCAGGGCGTCGCTGCTCCGCAGGTCCCGGGCGAACGACGCATCGCTGCTGGTGCTCGACGACGCCGAGCCCCCCGCCGCGGGGCGCGTGCCGTCGCCGGAGCGCGAGCGGGCGGCCCCGCCACAGCAGGCTCCGCGTCCGTCGGGCCTGCCCCTCTGCAGCAGCACTTGCCCAAACATAGGTTAGGAAGTATCGGAGATTGATAGACCTCCTACCCTGACACGTCGATTAGTGAACTGGACGTTTTCGGTTCGCGGGAGGGCCTCGCGGCCGTCATTTTTGCGGGTCCATGTCCGTCGGTTTCGGTCCCAGGCCGTTTTCACTAAGGGGAGGTTTGCTAAAGGGAGGTTTGTCCACCGCCGAAAGTAGTCTGCTGGGATGACCGTGCGGGTTTATCAGCGGATAGGGGGGGTACAAGTGTGGGTGCCAAGGTGGGTTATATCTGGCGTAACCTGGCTTATACATGGATTACAAGTACCTTAGGTAGCTTAGGGGGGTTAACGATCAAGGGAGCCCACTGAGCCGAGTTATCTAACCCTCCTAAGCCACTCGGGGAATTTGTAACCCACTTATAAGCCAGGTTGGGCCAGATATAACCCACCTTAGCATCCATTTGCACGCCCCCTATCCACTTAGAACCCCCCACGGTCATCCCAGTGGGGACGATTTTGCCAGCATGTTTTGACAAGTGTTGAGCCTTCTTCGAGCATGTTGCATTTCTCTTTCGAGATCTGCCTGCAGGGGAACGCGCCCGACCCAAGGCTCCGCGGTTCGACCCCACCAGGTGCATAGCCATCACGAAGTGGGGGGTCTGGTGCTCAGTGGGCCCCACAGGAAACGACAGCCGAAGAAGCAACAAAAACCATACACATGAACTTTTTCGCGCTCCGCACGGGTTTCTTGCATCCGCGCTGCCCCTCCCCCCCCCCCGGCGGCACCTCCAGCGCCGCCTCTGGCGCGCACCTCGCGCCAGGGGGAGGGTCCAGCGCGGAGCGCGAAAAAAATTATGTCTATGGCGTCTTTGTTGTTCTCTCTAGGCAAGGCAGTTTCTTTATCGGCTCCGTTTTGCAATTTTGTTGCATGCTCGGAGGCCGTTCTTCTCCCCGTTCCGTCGCCGTCTTTTCTCCCAGGTTCCAGTTACAGTTCCGATCCTGGAGCTGTCTTGGTTCCTGTTTCCATTCGCCGTTATTGTTTCCGCTCCCGTTTTTTTTTCGGAAACGGTGAGAAAAGTGCCCTGCCGATTCCGCGGCCAACTAAGGTCCAGTGCGAGAACAAGCCGAAGAGGAACCTATGCGAGGAGCAGGATTGGGAGTACTGCGGGAGGCACACCTCTTACAGTCGTGGCGGCGACACCGTGCATCCTAACTGCCCCCACGGCGACATGAACGACGTGGTCCCAGCCGCCTCCCCCGCACCCGCGCGCGAGGAGATGCGCGAGCTGAACAGGACGGAGCTCGGGACCATCCGGCAGTTCACGGGCACCGGCGTCATCGTTGCGGAGCGCATCGGCGGGGAGCAGAAGACGTTCGAGACCAAGCACTCCGACGAGGACGAGGCCTACATGCAGGCGCAGATGTTCCTCCAGCATGTCGCGCACGTCGTCGACGGCGCGCCTGCCGCCAGCAGCGGCGACGCCCCGGCGCGCCAGCCACGGGCGGCCGCCGCGCTCCTCGCCGAAGCCGGCTCCTCGCCCGCGGGCGCCGCGGCGGCCCCCGCCGCGCCCGCCCGCCCGAGCGAGGCGAGCGCCGAGGCCGCGGCACGGCGGGCCCCGCGGCCGCGGAGCCGCGGCGGCCCCCGCGCCCGCGCAGCCCGCGGTGCGCAGCAGGGCCGCGGCCGCGCCCGCCGCGCAGCGGTCCGCGCCCGCGGCCGAGGCCCGCGGCAGGGGCGCTGCCGCTGCGGCGGCCGAGGCCGCCGGCGGCGCGGGCGGTGCCCCGGGCGGCCTGCCGCGGCCGGAGCGGGAGGCCGCGAGCAGGGCAGGCTTCACAGGCCCGCCGTGGTGGAGCGAGCGGGCCCTCGAGGGGAGGACGGGCACGCGGGCGTTGCGGCCGTTCGAGGTCTCGCCGGGGGGGCGGCCTTCCAGAGGCCCCGGGGCCGTCCAGGCCATGATGGAGCAGACGGGGCCCGAGGGGAGAACGGGCACTGAGGTTTTGCTTACCGTGTTGGCCCTCCACGGGGCCCTCCACGCCGTGAGCGAGCAGATGGGGCCCGAGGGGAGAAAGGGCATTGACTGAAGTAGTTCTGTTTGCCGTGTTTGGGCCCCGCCAGGGCCACCCACGGAACCCAGGGTCGTAACGACGCGGGCCAGGATGGCAAGCCAGTCCTGGGGAAGGGCCCCGCGGTCCAGAGGGGCTCGTTCACGCTTCAGGCCCTGCTGCCATGGGCAGAAGAACCTGGAGCAACGTCCTTCCTGAGGAGCTTGCTGGTTGCCTCTCGCCTCTTTCGATGCCCCTCGTTGCCCGTAATTGTTGGCTCCGCGGTCGCCTTCGCTCGCTGCCCTCCGTGGCCCCGTTGCTGCCCTCAGCGGCCCCGCCGCTGCCCTTTGCCCTCCTTTCCCCGTGGGACCCGTGCCCTTTATGGCACCAGGCGCCCTCTGCAACAGCGTGATGGGCCTCCTGCCCGGCAGCTGGACGACGAGCGGGGCGCGGGGCGCCGGGGGCGCCGGCACAGGCAGCGCGACCCGCGCGGACGCGGCGGCGGGCGCCGAGGGCGCGCCGAGCACAGCGGCCGGCGGCCCCCTGGTCGTCGCGCGAGGCGAACGCGTCTGTGGCCGCGCCCTCGCCGTCGGGACTCTGGAGCGCGAGCCCGCGGATGCGCGGTCGCCCGGACACGCTCTGCGCGGGGCGTCCGCGAGCGAGCGGCCCGCACACCCGCGGGGTCGCGGCCCAGGGGCCCGGCCCGCGAGGCCGCGGCCACGGAGGCGTGCCTCGCCCGCGAGGTCGGAGCGCCGGGCGCCGGGGTTGCGAGCAACGCTGCGGGCGGCCCCGGCGGGAACGAGAACGACGGCGCCGGGGTCGTGATCGACGCTGTGGCCTCCGACGAGGAGACCGCCCGCGGGGGGGGGGGGGGCGCGCTGCCGTTGCCGGCGCCCGTCCCTCGTGGTGCCGGTGCCCTGCCCTCGTCGGCGCGGCCGGCTGCGCCTCGAGGTCCTGGTCAGGGCGCGCCCCAGGAGAGGTGCACGGACTGGCGGCCCTCGCCCGCCCCCTCGTGCAAGAGCCATGGGCATGCGTGCCACTTGGTTCCGATCCAGTGTCGTCACCCCTTGCTGAAGTCAGCCCTGGAGCAAGTCGTCCAAGCTTTAGGCCACTGATCGTCTTTGCGCACGCGGCCGTCGCATCGGTGACCTACGCTCTGAGGGCATCCTACTGTTCCCCCAGATGGTAGATGCCTAGATGTCAGGGTAGGCAGAGGAATTGTTTGGAGGTCCGAGAGGGTTGCTTGGGTCGGCGCTGGATCCTCCTGCTCACGCCCCTGCGCGCGGCGCACGCTGAAGGGCGGCGCCGGAAGCGCTGTCCAACGCCGACACCGAGGTATCCTCGCGCGGGCATCGCGAAAGTATATGATGCAATGCCGCTCTGCCCGTGCCCAGACGTCCTGCGCTGCGAAATGTTCGACGCGTGGGCCCCCTGACCTCCTCCTCCCCCCCCCTCCGCCTCCCTCCCCCTGCCGCCCCCCCCCCCCCCTCCCTCCTTCCTCCTCCTCCTCCTCGTCCTCCTCCTCCTCCTCCTCCTCCTCCTCCTCCTCCTCCTCCTCCTCCTCTCCTCCTCCTCCTCCTCCCCTCCTCCTCCTCCTCCTCAGTCCTCCCCTCCTCCTCCTTCTCCTCCTCCTCATCCTTCTCCTCCTCCTCGTCCTCCTCTTCTCGACCCCTCCTCTATGGGCAGGCTGTGCTCCTCCCGGGTCGTGGTTCCTCCGGCCCCGAGGCACGCCCCAGCGGCCCCCCGCAGAGGGCCCCGAGGGCGAGCGAGCAAAAAAAGACAGGCAGGCCTGCCCCCCTACAGAGGGATAGGCCTGTCCCCCTACAGGCAGGCCTGTCCCCCAAAAATATTAAAAAATAGTCCCCAGACTATTTTGGGACTATCTTTTGATTATTTGTGGGGTATTTTTAATGTTTCGTCGAAAATCCCCCTGTAGGGGGACACGCTCGACTGAAAGGCAGGCCGCCCCGATGTGTTGTTCCCGAGGCGCAGGACGCCTGGGCACGGTCCCTCCTTCTCACCACCCACCGAGCCACCCCGGGCCCAACCCGAAGGCCCAAACTGACCCTCGAATTCCAGTGGTGGGGGGGGCGTCGGGGAGCATGGAAAGAACGCATGTGGAGCCCGTACAGTCGGGGCCCTGAACAAGGAACCCTGTTCGTTGGGGAGGGGCTCCGCGTTCCTTAAGTGTTTCACAGCTTGCCTCAGGCTTTCCTTATGTTTTCGACCGGAAATCGAAGGTTCACTTATGGAAAAAAGGGGCTTCGTTCCTTATTTAGGGTTCCTTAGGTCAACGCCCCGACTGTACCCCCCCCTCCGACCCGAAACTTGGGTCTTCGGGTCAGGTTGGGGTGGTCTGGCAGGTGGTCATCTTCGGGCGTCGAGGAGTGGTGGTGTCACTTCGTCGGGGGGCGAAGAGCCCAGACCCCCTCGGGCAGTGGACAAAAACCGTGACGGGAGGTTTTTGCTGCTATGTTCGGCCTCTGGGGGCCCTTACCGGCCCTCGGGGCCGTCAGCAAAAACATACGCAGAATGAAAACATCGCTCCAGGAGAATTATGGGTCGAGACCTCCAGAGGTCGACGTGATTGTGCCCCAAAAAGCGCCCCCCCCCCCCACCCACCCAAGCATCGCCCCCGCCTCATTGCTTAGCGTCCGACTTGCTCCCGAGGAGGAGGCTCCCGCAGACAGGGGCCCGCAGGAGGCCGGCAGGAGGAAGCGCCGCAAGGTCCGGTCCGGGAGGGACGAACTGCACCAGTGATCGAAGAGGAACGGGTTGCGTAAGCATGGACGTTCGACGATCCGTGCGGATTTCTTGGATCTCCGCCTGGCCCCCCTGGCGCCCTGGCGGCGCCTCCGGCGCCGCCCTTGGCGCGCTCTGCGCGCCAGGGAGGGGTGTCCAGCGCCGATCCAAGAAATCTGCGCGGATCTTTTAGAAAGTATGCTTAAGCTTATTTGCCCTCATAGTACCAGTGAGGCGCGCGTCGTCTGTCAAACTGTGCGCGTTATAACCGTCCGCCCTTTGTTGAAAAGCCTAGGGCCTCGTCATCGTTAACACGCTGATCGTCGGGAGCGTCCACGAGGGGGTGAGTGGTAGGGTGTGCGTGTGTGCGTGTGTGTGTGTGTGTGTGTGTGCGTGTGTGTGGATCTGATGGCCCCTTGGTCTTTCCTTGCGTTCACTGCAGCCCCACACTCGCCCGCGCATATGCCTCTGGCCAGGATGCGCCAACCCCCCTCCTCCCTGGCCCCCCCCTCGCCAGACATCCCTGGGCCCCCCCTCAGCGGACCTCCCTCCTCCTCCTCCTCCTCCTCCTCATCCTCCTCCTCCTCCTCCTCCTCCTCCATTCCTTCTCCTTCAAACAATTGTTCCCTGTCGCACCCCGAGGCCAGTGTTTAGGGCGGGCCTGGCGTTTCGCCGGAGTCTTCCTCACCACTTATGACCCTGAAGTTTAATCATCGATAACAGTTTCACAAAGGGAAAACGGGTCGTTTTCAAACTGTGGCTCTCGCTTTAGCGCCGCGCATATTTGTTCTCAAGACTTGCAAGAGTTTCACGGATTGAGGGCGGGTCGTTTTCAAAATGTGGTTCTCGCTTTCTAGCGCCGCGCACATTCTTTTTAAACATGTGCAAGAGTTTCATGGGTTGAGGGCGGTTCGTTTTCAACATGTGGTTATCGCGTCAGCGCCGCGCATATTCGTTTTGAAAATGTGCAAGGGTTTCACGTATTGAGGGCGGGTAATTTTCAAATTGTGGTTCTCGCATTAGCGCCTCGTACATTCGTTTTAGAAATTTGCAAGAGTTTCATTTTTGAGGGCGGTTCCTTTTCAAAATGTGGCTCTCGCCTTAGCGCCGCGCACATTTGTTTTAAACATTTGCAAGAGGTTCACGGATTGAGGGCGGACCGTTTTCGGAATGAACTTCTCGCTTTAGCGCCGCACACATTCGTACGAACCATTTGTAAGAGTTTCACGGATTCCCATGATGGACGTACCAGAAATGGTGTTTGGGAAGGGCTCACGATTTTAAGGGCGCAACAGTTACGATGATTCGCGGAGTTGAGGTCCCAGGAATGGCGTTCCGGTACGATTCAGGATCGTCAAGACGCAACAGTCAGCTTGATCCGTGGCGTTGGAATACCGAGGTGCATGTTTTGGCATGCTTCAGGATCTTCAAACGGTTGTCGTCCAACGAGGCAGGTCCCTCTGCGGAAGTGAACCGTTGTAGGGGCCTATGAAGAGGGAGTTTGGGGGGAGCGTTTATTCCAACATCGTTGGTGACTCTTGGGTTTACACTGGTCCTTCTCCTCCTCCTCCTCCTCCTCTTCCTCCTCTTCCTCCTCATCCTCCTCTCCTCCTCCTCCTCCTCATCCATGCGGCTCCCTGGGGTGCTGCGAAGTGCGCAACCGTCGCCACTTTCGTGGGCTCCCGGGAGGCCCAGCGGAGTAGGGGAGTACACCCATCCAGCCGAGACCTCGCAGCCCCCTGGGGGGCTGCGAAGTGCGCAACCGTCGCCACCTTCTTGTGGGCTTCTGGGAGGCCCAGCGGAGTGGGGCAGTACACCCATCCAGCCGAGACCTCGCAGCTCCTGCGCACTGCGGGTTCTTCATCACGCTCGTTTGTAGTGAGCGGTCCTGGGTATCGCCGCCACACGTTTAGACAGGGTGAGGGCACGTCGCAGGATCGTTTCGAGACGAGGTCGCTGGAAGTCCCGATCCTTTCCCCAGGGCCGGTGGTTCATCCCGAGTGGCGTTTCAACGGTCCTGTGGCCCAGCGAGGACCCTCGGAGGCCGAACGCGGGAAAAAGCCTCCGCCGTGAGTCCTGCCACGACGCGAGGCATGTCACGTCTGCTTCTCCTGCGCACCCGAGCGGGTATCTCCCGACCGGCGTGGCGCTGACGTGTCACGCCTGCTCTCCAAGAGGCGTCCAGCGCCGACCCCTTTTCCCAGGGGTAGGTAATGCGTCCCGCATCCGTCCTTGACGGCCCTGGGCCCCAGAGAGTCCCCTGGGGCCACGGTAAAGGAAACGACGCCGCGATGGAACAACAAACATCGTCGGAGATCTGGCGGGTTCTTTCGGCACTCCACGGGTCTCTCCTCGGTTGGGTCTTAATCAGACTTTCGAGGCGGCTCCAGCGGTGGCGACGACGGCTCTCCTGGGCGAGCCGCGGGGTGTCGGGATCTCTTCCCCCCTGGACCGTCGGAGCAGGTCCTGCCACTGAATATCCAGCGTAGCAAAAATAAGTACAGCATCGCACCACCATCACGACCAGAGCCCCAGATCCCCATCTTGCTGCATCCTTTTTTCGAGCAGGATCGATCTGTGAGGGCCCTGGGGCCCGAAACGAGGCGAAACCGCGGGGCTCGAACAAACATGGGACGCCAGGATCTCGAGGAAGCGAACCGCTGTCAGGGAAAGATCACTGAATATCTCCTTTATCCTCCCCCTCGTGACCGTCGGAGTACAGGTCTTCACCACGATCTTACCTCTGTACCCAGACATGCGACGTCCTGATTGTTTCAACACGCGGTCCCCGCAAGTCCAGACCCTTTCCCTGGGGCTGGTTCTTCTCCCGAGTCGTCTTCTGACGATCCTGGGGCCCAGCGAAGGCCGCGAGGGGACGAAACACGGAGCAACAAAAACCCTCGTGCTGATTTTTGTTACGACGCGAGCCTGCCTACACTTACACCACAAGAGCAGCACTTACAACAGTTACCAATACTTCAGACGACTTGCGGCACTTACCCCCGTGCAGTAAGTAGGCTACACCAAGCCATATCTAGGTTGCATGTACCATGAGCGGCACGGACCTCCAAGCGAGAGGACGAACAACGGAGCAAAACACCTCGTGCTGGTTTTTGTTTACGACGCGAGCCTGTCTGGGAACACGCCTGCCTCGAAGGTGGCCTGCGCCGAGGGCGTGGCGCCTGCACCGCCGCCGCCGGCGGGCCGGGGCAGAGGCGGGGCAGCGTCGGCCGGGAGCCGCCGGTGAGCGTGGGCGGGGCGCGCGTCTGCGGGATGAGGTCGGCAGCGAACGGCCGCCAGCAAGGGCGGCGTCCCTCCGCCTCCCCCTCCTCCTCCTCCTCCTCCTCCTCCTCCTCCTCCTCCTCCTCCTCCTCCTCCTCCTCCTCCTCCTCCTCCTCCCCCCCCCTCCTCCCTCCTGCCTCCTGCCTCCTGCCTCCTCCCTCCTCCTCCGCCTCCTCCTCCCTCGCCTTCCGCCGCCTCCGTTTCCTGAAGCCCAGACGTCCGAGGTGCGAGGTGCGAAGTGGTAGGTTTGGTTTGTGTGGGCGTGTTCGTCAGTCCCCAGGGACGGTTTATCGCGTCGGGGTGCTCTCCTGCAGCTGCGCCCTGCCGAAAGCGCTCCGGGGGTACCCAGATCGTCCCCGAACGGCCGCTGGAGGCCCGAGTTACGTTCCGAAAACCGTTCCCCTCGCATAGTGAACAACAACCACGACGGTAAGTATTCGAAAGGTTTCGGCCTGGCAGGGCCTGCGCCAGAATGACGAGTTTGTCTCGGGGTCAAGGACCAGACATTTGGGGAGCCTCGTTGAGACAGATGCGACGTCGGATGTCTGGGCCCCACGATCCGCTTTCACTCAGGATCATCACTGACATCAATTCTTCTTCTTCTTCATCACCATCGCCGCCATGATCAGCGTAATCGTCATTGCCATTGATACGATCATCATTATCATCAGCATCAGCATCAGCATCATCATCTTCATCATCTCCATCATCATCATCTGCAACATCATCATCAACACCATCACGATCATCATCAGTATCATCATCATCATCATCATCATCATCATCATCATCATCATCACCACAACCACCATCGTCAGCATCATCACCATCCTCATCATCATCATCATCATCATCATCATCATCACCACCACCATCATCATCATCATCATCATCATCAGCAGCATCATCATAGCTGAGCCGCAATCACCATCGTTCGAATGGCCATCATCATCCCCCCTCCTATTTTTCCAGCGCGCGCGGGAGCTCGCTTGCGCGAGCGCGCGCAAGCGAGGAGAAGGAGGAGGAGGAGGAGGAGGAGCAGCAGCAGGAGCAGGAGCAGAAGCAGGAGCAGGAGCAGGAAGAGCAGGAGCTGCAGGAGGAGGAGGAGGACGGAAGAGGATAAGGAGGAGGACGGAGGCGAGGAGGACGGGGGAGGAGGACGGAGGAGAGGGAGGAGGACGTTAGAGGGGGAGGAGAGGAGGAGGAGGAGGAGGAGGAGGAGGAGGAGGAGGAGGAGGAGGAGAGAGGAGGGAGGGAGGAGGAGGAGGAGGAGGAGGAGGAGGAGGAGGAGGACGGAGGAGGACGGAGGAGGACGGAGGAGGAGGAGGAGGAGCAGCAGGAGGAGGAAGAGGAGGAGGAGGAGGAGGACGGAGGAGGACGGAGGAGGACGGAGGACTAGGAGGGACGGGGCGATGCGAGGCGAGCTAGGCGAGCGCGCGATGTCGATCGGTCCGGCGCGACGGGCCCTACGAGGGCAGCGCCGGGGGGCCCTGGGCCTTCGGGAGACGCGTTGTGAGCAGGAGTCGGAGTCTGAATCATGGGGTCTGAAGTCGGAGACGGGGAATCGAGTTTGCGTGCCGTTGCCGTCGTCCGTGCCAGTATCGACCACGATTGCTCCAACTGTTTCGCGCCGATGTGAGCGTACTTTATGCAATCGGAGTCAGAGAGACGATGGCAGGAGTCGGGAAGGAAGGCGCAGGAGTCGGAAGATATGACAACCACAATGATAGGAGCCGAAGTCGGAGAGACGACCGCAGAAGTCGGAGAGATGGGCGCAAAGAGTCGGAAGGTAGGAGAACCAGAGTCGTGGGGATAGGAGCCAGAGTCGGAAAGACGATCGCAGGAGTTGGACAGATAAGCGCAGGAATCGGAAAATACAAGAGCATGGAACCAGGGGAGGACGAAAGAGGAATTGGGGGAGGAGGGGGACAGGGGAGACGGCACGAGGCAAGAGGGAGAAGGCAGAAGGCAGGACAAGCTCAAGGGGCCCCTGCATCTGGCAAGACTTGGCTTCGAGCAGGAAGCTGCCCCCTTGATGGTCCCAGGAGGCCCTGGAAGCCTCCAGAGGTAGAAACGGGGGCCAGACGTGCTTGAAAACATGTTTAAAACGTTCAGGGCCTTCCTACTTGGTACACGCTTTAGAGCACTGGAGGCCTCCAGAGGTAGAAACGGACGTGTCTGAAAATATGCTTGAGACCTTCAGAGCCGTCCTTTTCGGTCCAACCTTGAGAGCAAAACTCAGGAGGCCCTCCTCCCTTCTGGGTCCCTGGATCGGTCCGGGGTCGAACGTCGATTACTTGACTCGTTCTGGGGTGCGAATTCTGACCGTCACGTGTAGGGGGGATCCAGCCGTGGCGACCAGAACTCCACCAGAGGCCGCATGAAACTGGCTGGCTCCCGGATGTCCAGGACGAACGTCGATCCTCGCCCCCTTCCTCAAGCCCCCCCTTTCCGCACACAGCGCGGAGGAGGTCCCCGACGGCCGCCTCTGAGGACGAGGAGGGAAGAAGCAGAAGGGATAGAGAAGGAGGACTATGAGGAGTTGGTTTACTGGTGTGTTGGTAGATTGGTGCATGAAGGTGGAGGTACGTTTGGACCCCTCCCTGCAGCCGTCTTCGTTGGCCGAGGGGCTGCAGGAAGGTCCTCGGCCCCCTCCATTGGCTATTGACGCCGTAAAGTATTGGTGTAATGGTGTATTGGTGGGAGAGGGCGACCCCCGCGGCCCCTATGATGGCAGCCGCAGGGGGTGTGAGGCCTATGATGGTCCTCACTGGTGAGGCCTATGATGGTCCTCACCGGGGTGGGGGTGGGGGAAGAGGGCAGAAAGTCGAAGCGGATGTCCGGCAGCAACGTCCTGGGGGGATACCTGAAAAGGGGACTTAAAAACAACGTCTGTCCTCCGCCTATGTTCCAGAGGAGCCCCGTTCAAAAAGCAGAGGCAGAGAGAGAGAGGGAGAGAAGAGAGAGAGGGAGAGAGAGGGAGAGAGAGGGAGAGAGGGAGAGAGAGAGAGAGAGACGCCTCGAACCTCGGAGCTGCGGCCAAAAGTCCTGACAGGGGCACCTCAAACGGGATACCTGAAAGAGGGAAGCAGCCTGACCGGGGGACCTGAAGCCGAAGGAAAACGACAGGGGGGACGATCCAAGGCGGCCCCTGGACAGCTCTCGGCGAGGGCCGCTGCTCCGGACGTGTAGATTGGACGGCGGCTATACCCATCCATGAAGAAAGGCGGGGGGGGGGAGGAGGAGGAGGAGGAGGAGGAGGAGGAGGAGGAGGAGGAGGAGGAGGAGGAGGATGCAGGAGGAGGAGGAGGAGGAGGAGGAGGGGAGTAGGCCCAGCCACACACCTGCGCCCCAAGTGGCAGACGGAGGTGGCTGGGAGGGTTTTACATACCCGTCCTTGGAGAGCTCGGCTTAAGGGCGGGGAGCGGGAACGACCTCATGAGTGACGCCGCGGCGGCACATGTGACACCGCGGCGGCACGGGTCGAACCGTCACCCTTGGTGCACTGGCGCACTGGGTTGGCAACTGGCGCCAAAGATTACTGACATTGACAGGCACCGTCAGCCGGCAGGGGATAAATCCCGTTCACGGCCCCATGGAGGACTATGAGGAGTTGGTTTATTGGTGTGTTGGTAGATTGGTGCATGAAGGTGGAGGTACGTTTGGACCCCTCCCTGCAGCCGTCTTCGTTGGCCGAGGGGCTGCAGGGAGGTCCTCGGCCCCCTCCATTGGCTATTGACGCCGTAAAGTATTGGTGTAATGGTGTATTGGAGGGAGGAGGGAAGGGAGGAGGGGGATAAGGAGGACGCGGAGGAGGGAGGAGCTGGAGCTGGAGCAATCGGACGTTGTCCGTCGAGAAAAGGGCGGGGGCCTGGGGAGGGCCATCAACATTTTGCCAGCCGTGCCGAGGGGGGCGACATCCCTCGCACGCTGCGACAGGCCCTCCCCAGGACAATTTACTCTTCAACAGTGCTTGCACTGCGCCACGCGGCGCCGCCAGGAACAGCCCCAGGGGAAGCGCGGTTATCATCGCGCCACGCGCGGCCCAACGGCCCAGGGGTCCACGGGAAACTACGCCCGCGAGCGCGCCGAGAGCTCGCAGCAGGCCCAGCCTCAGCGCGCGCGGAAGGCGAGCTTCGCGGCGCGCAGGGCGGCGTCGTCGTCGTCGGAGTCGCACTCCCAAGGCGGCCTCTTCAGGGCCAGCTCGTTGCCGTCGCTCGAGGCCGACACGGCTTCCTCCTGCTCCTCGGTGGCGTTGCAGTGTGGGTCGCACTTGATGTACTTCTTCATCAGCTCGCCCGTGCTTTCGGAGTCGCCGAGGGCGTACCTGTCGTTGGCGTGGACCTCCGTCTTCATCAGGATGGGGTTGTCGATGCCCTCCTGCACCACGTCCCCGATCTTCTGCTTGTCGCCGTCCTCGGGGTG